ATTCCCAAATCTTAACCTAACTTTTTACCAATGTTCAGACCTTAAATTCTCATAGCTCAGGCAAAATAAATGGAAAGTGAAAGCATGTACAGTTTCAGGGGCATGAGTATAACACTTCTTATTCACAAACTTAGAGCTAATGATGCCTACACTAAGAGTTAGAAGTTCATGAATATACCTTCTCAGTTGGAATCGTGTCTGGCAATGGAGGAGTTTTCAGAGCAAGGTGATGATTGGTACAGCTTCCTTGATGTCCAGGGATGCTATTCCAAGTTTTACTGTGCTTTGAAACTAGCTGAATTGAGTTGTAGACCTTCACCTGCAAATCAAAAAAATGAAAATGGCCAAACTGTTTTAGAGGAGTTATAGGTCGTGTTTGATACTTTGATTAGCTTCAAGAGATGCTAGGGAATGTGTTTGATGAGTTTTTAGCAAGAATGCATGGAAGGGGTGAGAGTTGACACTCAAATTGCAGTAGGTGCTCTGTTTGGGCAGTTTGAGGGTGGTTCTGTGTTCTAGAGGGCAATGGAGGTGTTGGAGTCGTGTTCTAGCTCAGTCAGGATGTCTTGAATGTGTACAAAGTATTTGCTTAGGCTCTTTTGTGCTGAGATGAAAGTTGAGTTGTGATATGCTATATTTCTTACACTTTAAGCAACCAAAGGCCAAGTTGGTGTTTAGACAGGTAGAGGCCCCCATAATATGCTGCAAACCTTGGCATTGATCAGTGTGATTAGTTCCTAAACTTGTGCCAAAGAGATTTGATCTGTACTTGCTGATTTGCAACTTTGACATAAAGCTTAACTTTTCAAAAATGGGTAATTTGCTTTTTCTACTTATGGCTTTATTTTGCATACAATGCTTGAACTCATAAAATAAGACTTTGGCACAATGAGTATGCATTAAATTATTGAGTGCAAATGGGATTAGAGGCCTGTAATGTAGCATAAACCAAGCTGACTTGAAAATGGCAATGTGTATGAACATGTCTTGGTCAAGAACAAAAGTGATTTTTGCCCAACTTGCCGAATTCGATTCTCCCTAACCATGAGGTTGTTTGAGGAGTTCTTGGACATTTTGGAAAGCTTGGAATATGTAATACAATCCATCTTTGAAGTTCAAATTGAAATTCCAAGTGGAAGTATATGAAAAATGGTCTTGAAGTTAGGCAAAAATCCTGCCTAAAATAGGTCAAATTTTCTCCAAGTTAAGAATGGTTTGGTACCCTTATTCCAAAAATTGTAACTTGAGATACAAGCTTCTTTTTAGAAAACTTTGTGAATCAAAGTTGTAGATTATGCAATAGGCTACAACTTTCATGTTTTGACTTTTGCTTGAATCCAAATGGATCTTGGTGAGAAGGTGGGACAAAGTTAGGAAAAAATTAGGGTTTTTCATAACTTAGAAAAATTCTAAGTTATGAAAAATCTTCATTTCAAACCCTAATTTACATTTCTTGATTTCTTGATGAACAAGTTTCATGATTTGGCATGTTTTGATGAAAAATGAATCTTGACATTTGATTTTGACCAAAAAGTCAAAGTTTGACTTTTCAGTATACAGTCAAAATTGATCAATTGACTGGGAAATTCAACTGTCAATCTTGTGTATTTGGGATCTTTTGAACTTGTTGAGCATGTCAAGACAATTCCATGGGGTCCTTGAGTCCATATGTGAGCTTGGTTTGCCATTGGCTAGGTCAAACAGTCAAAAATTGCCTTTGTGCAGTCAAAACCCTAAAAATGACCATTTTGCCCTTTTGGTGATCTGATCAAATTTCTTGTGGAATTATGATCCAAACTTGATCAAATGGTCCATGTGAGTTCATAATGTTGATGTGGGTCAATTTTCATGAGATTTGACTGTCAATTGGCCACAGTTGACTTTTTCCCCAATACAGTTGATTTCTAGGTCAACAGTCCAATTGACTGGGCAAAATTTGGAATCAAGACTTGAAACTTGGTATGGATAAACTTGGGAGTCCAACATGAAGTATGAAAGTCATCTTAGGCATTTTAGGTCAAAATATCTTTGTGCAAACACAAACCCTAATTTGGGTCAACAGTGCAAGGAGAAGTCTTGAGCAGAGGAAACCCTAATTGGATCTTGAGCTCAAAGGGTTTTGTGATGAGAAAATGTTGAGGAAATGGGAGGATAAATTTTGGGGTACAACAGAGTCAAAGGGAAAAGTTCAAACAAGACAAAGCTTAGCATTTGCAACTTGCAATTTTTAACTTAAAAATGAAGCCTTGTTGTTTATTTGAAAGCTTATGACAACTTGAATTATCTTGAATTTGTGGTGAAAAGATGTCATGAAATAATGAAATTAATATGTGTAGAAAAACACTTCGAAAAATTTCCAAGTCTTGTAAAGTTTGATTTTTGATTTTCTTGATTTCTTGATGATCAAATTTCATATTTTGAATGTCTTGATGAAATGTGATCTTTGAAACTCAAATTTAATCAAAAAGTCAAAGTTTGACTTTTCAGTGTACAGTTGACTTTTTCATCGGTTGACCGAATTTCATCTATCAATCCATTGATCTCGGGAGATGAGTTGAAATATGTGATTAAGTCAAAATAATGTACTTGAACCCTTGAGATCATGTTTCAAACCAATAATTCATGTACTGGGTCAAAAGTCAAAGATTGGTCACTCTCAGTAAAAACCCTAATTTGGAGTCTAGTGCTTCGGGGATGATTTTGTCTGATCAATTCCTTGAGAATCCTTGAGCACTGGAGATCCTTCGTGAGGAATGTCTTGAAAAAGAGAGGGCAAATTTTGGGGTACAACACTCATCTTGCATAAAAGAAATTACTCGATCCAACATTATTCATCCATTGATAGTGATTTAGTTTTTGTCGATGTTGTTGGTTTAAGAGACCCTCCTGGAGAGGAAGTTCATAAAGAAATTGAGGATTGTAAACAAATTGGTATTAGAGTTATGGTGATAACCTGAGATGATAAGTCAACAATCGAGGCAATTTGTACGGAAATTAGACTTTTCTCTGGATATGCAGATCTTACAGGTTAAAGTTTGACAGGTACATAATTCATGTCTCTTTCTCATTTAGAACAAGTTAAATTATTTTTAAGAAATGGAGGCAATTTTTTCTGCGAGCCAAGCCTAAACCCAAGCAAGAAATTGTGAGACTGTTGAAGGAAATGGGAGAAATTGTTGCAATGACTGGATATGATGAAACTCCTTTGCAGGTAAAACTCAATGGCCTTGCTACCATTATTGGGAAAATAGGCTTGTTTTTTACTGTAGTAACTTTCTCTGTGTTCGTCTAAGGGCTATTTTGCCGCAAGCTGCAAGAAGGTTCCCAATGGACATGGTCTGGTGACGATGCTATAGAAATTATGAAATTCTTATGGAATTCTTCGTTATTGCTGTTACGATTGTTATTGTTGATGTTCCTGAAGGTTTACCTTTAGCTTTGACATTGAGCCTTTCTTTTGCCATGAAAAAGATGATGAACGATAAGACATTTATTTATCATTTGTTTGCTTGTGAAACGATGGGATCTGCCACTATTATCTATAGTGACAAGACTGTTCTACTTGAATCAATATTCAACAACATTGGTGGAGAAGTTGTCAAAAATGAAAATGTGGAAATTGAAGAAAATGCGAAGAGTTATGTGGATGAGAATTCCAATTTTGGTGAGGATATAATTATTGGTGTTATCGATTCTGGTGTGTGTCCTGAGAGTCAAGATACATTGTCTGTTATGATTGTTCAGTTTAAGCAATGAAATCCAGGAGTAATTTTAGAATCTTGAGGACAAAGTTGAAGTGATCTCAACGGCAATGATAGGAAGTGAAATTAGATATAATGATAAAACTTATATTATTAATATGGTTATTGAATTTTATTTGAATTTGAACATTTTAGTTATATATATATATATATATATATATATATATATATATATATATATATATATATATATATATATATATATATATATATATATATATATATATATATATATATATATATATATATATATATATATATATATATATATATATATATATAGTGTGTCTTTGACACAATTTAAAATATCAATAAAAACAAATAAATTTAATTTCTTACTTTTATTGTCTTTCTTTAATATACAATTTTACAATTTTTCCTTAGTTTGTTAGAGTTCTTTAATATACATTCCCATATGTTTAATTGGATGTTAGTTTGTTAGGGTTCTTTAATATACATACCCCTATGTTTAATTGGATGTTTGTATAAAATCATAGCGAAGCTACTTGCTGCTAGACTTAGATGAATATTTGACAAGTTGATTTATAAGTACCAGATAATTTTTATTTTGAGGATGCATATTCTTGATGGAATGGTTGTGGTCAATGATATATCGAGGAAAGATTTATGCGAACGGCATCATATTTTGACCCTTTTGAATGTATACATTATTTCTGTTATCCGAGAGTTTAAGTCGATGCAATTAAACTATTTTAGCCGCAAGACTTTCATTATGTTACTAGTCTTCTATTATTATTCATTTTCTTCCTTATGCTTGACATGATTCTTTTATAAACAAAGAAAAAATAATTATTATTTACTTTGTTTATTATTACTATCATCGTTTTTAAATACATAACACTATTGAATTTTCACTATCATTTTCATAAGAGATGTCTTTGAAATTTTAAAATATATTAATTAATTTTTATATTTTTCTTTAATAAATACTCTTATAAGTATATTAACTTATTCTCACTCCTAAAAAATAAATTTGTAGAAATTATAAAAAAAATACAACAATAAACTTTATTAACTCTTGTAATTTACTTTAAAAAATTGTATAATTAAAGATGGAATTGGCAATAGATAATTAATAATAATAATAATAATAATAATAATAATAATAATAATTAATAAACGTGACATATTTTAATTTAGGCAATAGTTTGTATTGGATCCCCTCTCCGTGTCGGCATTGTGAACGAAGCCGAAGCTCCAACAGCAACCCACAGAGTAATGGAAAACGCCGACGTCTTAGGTTTACAGGACTTCCTCGAGCGCATGCGCCAACCCGCCGCCGCGGATTTCGTCAAAGCAATCAAAAGGTCCGCCGTTCTTTTCATCTCAATTTCAATTCAATCACTACACTCTTCAATCGGAACCCTAATCAACTCACTCATAACTATCTAACTAACTATACACATTGTTATTTCACAGTTTCATTGTTTCGTTCTCCAATAATGGACCCGATCCTGACAGAGACAGTGCCGCCGTACAAGACTTTCTTGCTAATATGGAAGCTGCTTTCCAGGCTCATCCGCTTTGGTCTGGTTGCTCTGAAGATGAACTCGAAAGTGCCGGTGAAGTTAGTTTCTTCTCAATCTCATTTATTATATGCATTAATATTATTTTACAAAAATTATGGTGTTTAAATGAATCATTAATTTTTACATTAATCAACTAGCTTATTTACTCTACTATCAACTTAAATTATTTATTGTTGGATAAACAACTTAATTAAGTGTTTATTGTATAAATCCTCATTTTCGGTAATAATATATCTCTAGGTTGAATCAATTTTGTGTATTTGCTGATTGCTTTACCTTATCTTTTTAAATCATGTACAGGGTCTTGAGAAGTATGTCATGACGAAGTTGTTTGCCCGTGTGTTTGCTTCAATTCCAGACGATGTAAAACTTGATGACCAACTTTCGGAGAAGATGGCATTGGTTCAACAGTTTATTCGACCGGAAAATTTGGACATCAAGCCAGCATTCCAGAATGAACCATCATGGTTGGTGAGTGTATAACTACACATTCAGAACTGTTTCATATATCTCGCTATGTATAAAATTCTGTCAACTAAGTTCATTTTCCTCATGATAGCAATATTTTATCCTTTGAAAAAGGAGCACTAAGTATAAATACTGCTCAATTCTTACCGTGTCTCTAAATTGGCTTTCATTCCAACTGTAAATTTTTTGGTCTTGTCCACAAACTAGCACCCAATTTTATTGAGAAATACATAGTTGAATTCAAAATATGAAAACCCTATATAACAAATATCTTTTCTTGACACTAGACATTAGCACTAAGGACAGCATTGTCTAAGTTGATATAGTAAGGGTTCCTATTCTTATAATTCAAATTTAGCTCATGATAAGTGGTGATGTAATGTTTCACTTAGTAGGTGTGTTTTTTTTGTCAACATTTCAGCGACTTTAGATACATTATTATTTGGTTTGTTTTAAGGTTTGATGGGTAGTATTCTTGATTGGCGAAGCTTTATTGAAGAATCAATCTTCTCGTTGATGCATCACATGGTTCTCACCCGCTTCAATATGTTTGTATATAATGAATTTGTCCATTGCAGGCAAAAATGCCATAAGAATTCTTCTGCATCTGTCTTTTTTACTACAGCTTTGGGAACTAAACTTTACAATTTTGACTTGTTTATGGATTTCTATATTTTCTGCTTCCCTTAAATTTTATATTTTCTCTCATTCTTAATGTGACAGCTTGCACAGAAAGGATTACAGAAGATCAACACGCACAAGGCACCAAGAGACAAACTTATCTGTATCCTAAACTGTTGCAAGGTTATTGGCAACTTGCTGCTTAATGCTTCTCTTGCTTCCAAAGATAATCCTCCCGGAGCTGATGAATTTCTTCCTGTGCTAATCTATGTTACTCTAAAGGTACAAAATCATTTTTTTTTAATGACAAATACATACCTACGTACTTATCGGATGTAATTAATTTGGTTTCTAAAGATGGTGTTGTTACTTCCTGCACTTTCTAATAAATTATGAGTACGACTTACTAATGTGCAGTGCTACATCTATCATTCCCTTTGTTCTGTTATGCCACTTTGCTTTGTTTTTTCACTATTTGAACTCCACTGTACAAATAAAACTTGTAATTCTGTAAATATCATTTTGAACTCAACAGGTGTTTTGAAATATCATTTTGCATACACTGGTCCATTCATCACAGCATTACCATATTACCCACAAATATGCATATCCTTTTTTGGGTGATCTTTGTTGCATTATTATTTACTTTGCAGAACTGTCTTTTGAACTGCTTATGGTGCCAAGCTTTATGTATTTTTCCATTGAAATATTTTGCTATCAAATTAGTTATATCTTTAGCAAAGCATCATTTATGCAGATGCAGTAGATCAACTATTCATAAACTAGGTGCCATTTTTTTGCTGATATAGTTTATGTTAGTTTTCTGAAGTCTCTCATTGATGATACTGTGCAGGCAAACCCTCCACAATTGCACTCCAATCTTCTGTACATACAAAGGTTTAGACGCCAATCTCGTTTGGTTGGGGAAGCATCATATTATTTTACAAACATGCTTTCTGCCGAAGCCTTCATCTCAAACATTGATGCAAAAGCCATTTCGATGGAAGAAACGGAGTTTGAGAGAAATATGGAATTTGCCCGTGCTCTTCTTTCAGGGCTTTCAGTTGATACGCAAGATCCCAATTCACCTTATCAAAATCATGGAGACAAAAATAAAACTTTGAGCGACAATAAGGACCCTGCATTACGAACTCCAACATCTTCTACAAAATTAGAAAGTAAGAAAGTGACTTTTGCAGATGAGTCATTGATCACAAAAGTTCCATCCCTCTCAGATTTGGAGAATAAAGGGGCAAGTATGATAATAAAGGAGGATAAGTTGAATGATGTTTTCAGGGAGTTTCCATATTTGTTTTCCAGTGTTGGTGATCTAACAGTAGGTGATGTTGAAGATCTTCTAAATAATTACAAACAATTAGTTTTCAAGTATGCGTGTCTTTCCAAAGGGTTAGGTGTCTCATCTACATCTCATCTTCCATCCAATCCTCAAAATAATGCTCAGGACCATGCTGAAACCCTTTTCAAAGGGTTAGATGTCTCTTCTTCGTCTCATCTTCCATCCAATCTTCAAAATAATGCTCAAGACCATGCTGAAACTGCAATAGATTATTCGGGCGGAAGACCTGTAGCCTCCAATGACAAATTCGAAAAATTTACGGATAGATCAGAGGATAACTCAGATCCTGAGGAGAGAAAAAGTGATTCAGGTTTGCCACAGGATGAGGCAGTTGCATCAGAGGATGGTGCCCCCTCTTAACTGATAGGAACTAGTGTTACAATTGTTTTATCCCCCATCACATATACCCTGCTTTTTTTTCACCCTTGCTCGTGTAAATTTATTTATATTTTATTTTCCCTTGTATGGTAAATGTCCTTTTGATAGGGATGGTAACACAATGACTACAATGTCCTTTGTAACATTATTCCTGAACAGATTTTATAATTGCTACAAATGAAATTTTGCATTTGGTTTTGCAGTGGATGAAAAATAATGTGAAGAGGTAAATCTAGTTTAGTTAGATGTGTGTGTATATATTGGTCATGGTGAGGTGTGTGTGTAAATATAACCCACCTTTATCTGCCCAATGAGACCTTCAATCGCTTGATTTTTAAGTGGGATTTTTGCTGTCCATAAGGCGATCAATTGCTCGATCCTTAAGTGAGATCTTTGCCGCACAACAAGGCGATCAAATCGTTGGGTCCTCAAGTGGGATCTTTGTCTCCCATGAGGCGATCAAATCTCCAAATCTTTAAGTGGGATTCTTGCACTTTAACTATGTCTTACAACTGGTTAGACATAGACATCAAGAGTGGTGGTTCTTGGTTTAATGTTTCATTGCATGTTTTTGTGCATCAATTAATTTCATCAGGTTCAAACAATGGAAAGGGAAGTGAAACATGGAAATCAAGCCGTTAGAGCTGGAAACCAGACCAGATCATCCTGCCCCTATAGGTGCATGCTTCTTGCACCAACCATATCTAACCTTATCTCCAATCAATATGTATGTCATGCTCATGCATAAAAATGTGAAACAAGAATGTATATAATACATAGTTTGAGACAAGATTGCATATCCAAATCTAGTTGTTTTATTTCATGTTTGAACTCAAGGGGCCACCATATCAAGAAAATAGCTTATCCATCATATTATATGACAACGCTGGATAGCACCATTGCCTTGTCGCTTGCTTGTGTATTCTTTATAATAAGTTTCATTCCCTTAATAATGCAAGTTTTCTATAATGTATGTATGGAGCCTCACCTTGTTTATGTGGAACAAATTCAAATGCTGGCTTGATGCCTTCTCTCATCATCTAGTCCTCCATAAATAGTACAACCTTAAAAACTACAAATAATTTCATAATTATCACTACTAGTTACAAGTATATTTTAATTTGAATTTTAAATTATAATAGGAAATTAACAATATAAAAGAGGTGTTATGGCGAGTAATTGTCATATAATTAAGACTCCCTGCTAGTTGACGATATAAAAGAGGATCGAGCAAAATATCACCCTCATCGCGATGATATTTGACGTTAATCTCAAGAGGAGTATCCACCAGGGCAGTAAATTGGAGCCCCACCAAAAAGATTAAATTTGTAGTATAGTTGTGTTGGTTAACAAAAGCACTATTGCAATCAGAATAAACCTCAAGACCCAAGAAATAAGGAAGACAACCAAGAACTTTCATCTGAAATGAGGTTTGAAGTTGTTGTATGACCACGTGATCAGAACCACTAATGACCATGCCATCAACATAGATAAAAAGAAGCATAATTCTAGTAGTCGTGTGATGGATGATCAATGAGAAATCATATTGTCTTTGAATACAAGAAGGTTCAAAAAGAGTGGATTGGAAAATTTCATACCATGCCCTAAGGATAAGTCATGTAAATATTTTCTTCAAGGTCCCTTTGAAGAAAAGCATCTTTACATTCATTTGATGAAGGGACCAACTCGCAGAGGCAGCAATAAGAAGCATTGTTTTAATAGTAGTTATTCTATTATGGAACCAGAATCAATCAGAAAACGGAGGTTGTGAGGTGCAACAATAGACTTAAACATCCGATGTAATGAAAAAGGGAATGACCTGTAAGGTTAGCACTCCAACACTCAAGTTAGTATGTGAGTGATATGAGAAAATAAAGTTTGAATGTTGTACCTGGAGAATGACGCGTTTTTCATTTATATAATGGGGGTGGTTGTAACAACCCGTTATTCTTCAACCGTAAGATGCAGGGAGTTGTTGGATATATCTTGGATTTGGATCTCCTACATTCTTCTCTAGGGTAATACCTATGTTCTATAATCATTTTATAGAATTATTGTTTTCTTTGTATTGGGGTTGGCTCTTTTGATCGGCCTAGAACAATTGCCCCTAAGCCCCTGTCTCTACTTGGAAGTGCGAGAGTTTTTATCATACTCGCCTTTTCGTGTTGGCCATATCTCGGTTTGAATGGAAAGCCAATAGGTGATGTTGATGTCTTTAGGAATTGACACCTTAAATGCATCCCCATGGTGCAAATGTCTTTTCGTAGGTTCTATCATAATGATCTTTGGGAACATAAATAGTCAGGTGTCCTCTAGAGGTGAGCTGGAGTGTTGATAGTGCTTATTTTTTTTGGTAAGTCATTATGAGATCTTCTTTGAAGAGTCAATTCTGCAATATTTTGAGACTTTACTTTTGCTTCTTTGTCATTTTATTTCTACAACCTATTATCTTTTTGTAATTGAAGAAAGTAATGTCTACCATGAGTCAAAAATCAAATGAAGTTGTTTCCTCCTTTTGGGTTAATCATGTCATTTCATCAACTATTTCTATCTTTTCTCGAGAGGTTAACCTTAATAGAACCTTTTTGGATGTAGGTCCTTCTTCATATTGGGGCGTGCTAAACCCCGAAAAAGACAAAAGGATTTGCAGTGACTATAAAGAGTACATAATTCATTTTTATGAGTGTACCTTCTTGATCATGGGTCTCCACTTGCTCTTTAATGGCTTCACAATAAAATCTTTAAAACCCTACTTGTCCTTTTCTTCTATCTTTTCAGAGTGCAGCGTAGTTCGGTAAACCAAACGTAAGGCTAAGGCTTGATTACTCTGGTGCAGGTTACTCATTATTTTAGAATGTTTTCAAAGAGCATAAAGCATTTTAAAAATCAGATCTTCTTGGTTGTTCCTCTCTGAAAAGAGGCCCATGCGACAATATGTACCATAAGGACCTGGATGGAAGATAAATGTACTAGTATGTTTCATAAGTACTCAAATAAAGGTCATTTCCTAATAGGGATGGATCATACGTCTACAAGAAGAGCGACCTGTCTTAGGACAAGCTTTATCTAAAAAAATGTTTGGTTACTTTCGTTAAAGAGTTGGGTCATACCGAAGGCGTCATTCCCTGGGATGAAACTTCAAGGAAACGTTTGAAATGACTTATCAAAACCCTCATGTTGATGAACGCTTGTACCAAGGAGGAGAAAAATGTCATTTTTGGCGAGTTTCCAATATTCATGCCCTCTACTGTTAGTTTGGTTGTTTGTAATAATCTTAGTTTTGGTAATCATTATTTGTAGATTCTATGAAGAATGAGGAAGCAATCCACCAATTGAGACGAGGAACCCAAATTGAACCATTTATTACTGGTTCTTCAAATAGTTCGGTGTCGGTCGATGTTTCTTCTTTGACTAGGATGGTGAGGATTTTGTGTTGGCCCCTTCAGCCGGCTCCTCGAGGGGAAGTCTCTTGGGGGCGTGCTGGAGGTGTTGGGGTGCTTAGTGATTACTGGTGGGCATCACAACACGTCAGGTCCTTCTCTTATGTCGTTTTGGTGAGGCACAACCCTCGTACTCTTAAAGAGTTAGGCGTCAATTTTAGAAGGGGGTTACTCTTACCTTTCCAACCTGACCAGTAAGACTCGCGAGGAGGAGCTTTCGAATGGCGTATTACATCCAACATGCTTTTTCTGTTTTGGACATAGGATGGGCCAGTTGTTGGGATGCTTTCCTATCTAACTCGCGCCGTAATAAGAAATAACTATTGGAGCTGATTACGTGTAGCCTGACGCTTTATTGAGATACTTACCCATACGAAGTACAAAAGACTTTTGGTGAGAGGCATATTAAGGAAGGATAAGGCTCTGACTTATGAAAGATCTGCTTTATTAGCTACTGTGATACAGTGGAAGAACTGACTTGAGGTTTTCGCGTTTGATAGCAAATGTTGCGGTTAGCAAGAGTTACCACCGACTTTTCTTTTATCCAAAAGGAAAGGTGAAAAAGCACAAGAAAGACCTTTGAGATTATTTCTTGAGTTCAGGGGGTAGATTATGAAAAGGGAAGGTATTAGCACCCTTTTTATTCACAGTTTCCATGGGCTCTTAGTTACTTGCTAGATCACTAGCTTTTGTTTGAAATTGTACTTTGTGTGGTTTTTAAAGTATTTTTAAAAAGAGGTCATTATTTAGGCAATCTTTGTAATGATTCTCGTTCGTAAGAATGTATACAAAGATGTTTGATCTTTTGAAAATGTTTTCAATTTTATAAGATGTTTGAAAGTGTATGTGATTGTTTTGAAAATAACAAGGATGTTTATTTTGAAATGGAGCAAGTAATTAGGAGTAATCTACCTACTCAAATGTCTTTCTTGTTCATTTTATCTTCCTTTGACATTGTTGTCTTGCCATTGATTTGGTAAGCAACTCTATCTTTGGATGTAAACGGGACGGGCGTGGGTCATCGTATAGTCATGATTAGTAATGTTGCAAGGTATCTTAGCATTCTTTTTGAGGGACTAAGATCATTTGTAAGGCAACTTAGATAGCGTCATCGAGGGACTATGATCTTGTATTTGCTTGTTTTTACTAAGATACCTTGCATGCGTAATATGGCCATTTTTGTATAAGGCAACCAAATGGGATAACTCTAGGGGTGCTTGTGTGCAAGTGTATTATTTTCATGCTTGATTTTGTCTTGAATTAGGGTTTGCTATTTGGTTGGTTTTAATCTCCATACACAACCCTAATTACTAGCATTTGTTATATAAAACGATAAATTGCGGGAATTAAAATTACTATGTTATTACATCATTTATGGGAAGGGGGTGTACAAATTGAATGGGGATTGCAAGAATTTAAAGCCTAATTAGTCTATTACAACCATATTGAATTTATACAATAATTGAAATAAATAAATGTACAAAAATAAATATGCAAGAATGTAAATGCAAAGACAATGGATCTTTTTGTTTGGATTTTTTT